TCCAATAAACCTACAATACCAACATTATTTACAGAAAGAAAGTTTCTAATCTCTCTGTGTTTCAAGGGACTGTTAAGTCCCCTTATGTTCCATGAGGTAATGTTATTCATGTTTAGTGGGCCCTGAATCAGGGTGGGTAGAAACAGAATAATAGATAGTATTAACTGACCTCATTTTATTTCACATTCTTCCTTCATTCACCTTACAGCCTTTCTGATTCAATATCTGAATCCCTTTCTGACATTTTCTTGCATCTTTCCTTGGAGCTATGACTGTACTCTTTACTGGTGGTCTGCTGTCAGGAGTTCTTGTTGGAGACTTTTCCATTCTACTAATCCACTTACTTCCACTTGTCTCCCCAATTTCCCCTTCTTCTTCCTGAATTTTCTTTCCTTTTGGTGTCAACTGTGGTTGATCCTTCTGTCCAACTTCTTTTGGATTCGAAACCTTTGGAACTGGAATCCTACATTCATCAGACGAATGACCATAACCTTTACAATTCCTACACTTGACTGGCTTCCATTCATAGATGACTTTCTGTTCCTTCAATTCACCAGTCTCATTTTCAAACCACACCTTATCCTTCACTTGTTCATGTATTTCGACTTCCACTAACACTCTAGCATAGGCAGTTCTAAGTTTTTGCTCAGTCATGTCATCCATTTCTACCGGAATGCCAATCATACTTGCCAATCTGCTAAGTGTAGTGTCATTCCAATATCTAAGAGGCAATTTAGGAAATTGAATCCACACAGGAACAGTCTTAACTTCATGCAATTTCAGCTCATCAATTACAGATGGTTTCCAATACTCAATCTCCTTTTGCACTTCCTCCTTCGAGATCTTCCCAACTTCACTATCATTAACTTTATTCGGCTCAATGAATCGAAGCTTTTTAGCTTGGTTATTCAGTAATTGAGCATTGATGCCATCCCAAACACTCTGCTTCTTCAGTTCATTATGCCTCAAATCCCCACAATGATCATTCCCACCATCATCTAAATCACTTCCCATAGCAATTACACGATGATTATAGATTTTTTCATGCATTAAATGATCTTCAGACACATTTAATGCAGAATTAGGGCTACGAATCTGGATCTGATTCGCATTCATTGCAGTTGCTTCCACACTTCAATTCCCAACCAGGTCTTGCTCCTGCTCTGTCTTTTCACCCGATTCCCTCTTCTTCCCTGATTTCTTTGTCATAGCGGACATCAATTTGTCGAAGAAATCATTAGCCGAAGAAACACACACTTGTGGTGTTTTTTCCTCTAGTGTACTGAGAGAGAGGTGTCATTTAAATTTCATGCTAATTTTGGGTCTTTTTCATTAGACTTCATTATTTCATTCTTAATAAAACAAACTATATTAACACAAGTAGGGCTTTTTTAAAAAAATGTGTACTATAACCCCAAAAATGTATCGCCCTGCTCTCAAATTTAGAATAAAATCTGAAAATGGTCTTTTACATCAAGCCAAATGTACATTTTGGTCCTTTACATTAATATTTGGCTAAAATGATTCTCTACATATAAAATGTAACTTTTTTGGTTCTTTGACACTATTCATACTCTTTGACCAGATTTAGTATCAAGTCAATAGGGGTATTTCAAAATAATTTTTTTATTAATATAAAAATTATAAGAATTACATTAATAAAAAAATTAAGATTTTAAATTAGTTACAAAAATAATAAAAAAATTCAAAATTTAATCTCTTAAAATAAAAATTGTACTTTTTTACACAACTTTAGTATTAGTCTTATTTTTGAAGGCTTTGAATGAAGTAAAAATATCACTCTTATGACGATCTCTAACATAAAATTGTAGAGAACTAGATTTACATAGTAGGTCTCTTAAAAAATAAAAAAATCATCTTGAGTTTCTTTAGTTTTTGACTTCCTAATATGGACAAGAATAAAACGATTTAATAGATATTATTAAAATCTTGAAATGTAATTATTGAGATTTTGTTGTATTAAATAAAGTAATAAGATAATCATTAAAATAATATTAAATTATTGAAAGTAACTCCGAAATAAAATTTACAAATTTATTCAAAGGAACATAAGGTTTGATTTTTTTTTCAAGACTATTAAGATCTAAATTTCCGAATTTGTATCTTTAATATGATATTTTGTTAAAAATAAAGCTAAATCTGGTGCAATTGTAAAAAAAATTTAGAAATTAGTATTTTTTGAAAAAAGAACATAAGAAGATGATTTTTTTTTTTTTGAAGACTCTACTATGTATATCTAGTTCTCTACAATTTCATAAGTTAAAAAATTTCCAAAATAAGAAATTAGCTTTGAAGATAATTTTAACTTAATTTTTTTTTTTTTTATGTTAGAGAATGTCATAAGAGTACTATTACTTCATTCCAAACCTTCCAAATTAAAAATGATATAAAATTTGTGTAAAAAAGTGCAATTTTTTATTTTTCATTTTAGTTTAAGAAATTAAATTTTAAAAATTTTCATTATTTTAATATCTAATTTAAAATCTTAAATTTTTATTAATGTTATTATTTTAACATCTATATTAATATTTTATTCAATATGTTCCGAAGATACCCTTGTTGACTTGATATTAAATCTGGTCAAGGTGTATGAATAGTGTCAAAGGACAAAAAAAGTTACATTCTAAAATGTAGAGTACCATTTTAGCCAAATGTTAATATAAAGGACCAAAATGTACATTTGGCCTAATGTAGAGTCATAAGTACTATGTATGGATTTTTTTGCGCCATTGGTTTAATCAGGATTATAATTAAACATGAGTGTTGTTGCTAAATTCAATACTGCATCTGCCTTTGTCATTTTGGATCTGAATTTGACAATAGCTAATTGGCTCCTTTTTTTTGGAATAGATCACTTCAAAGTATATCGTGGAGTGAGAGCTCAACTTCCATAATCTTGTCAACCTTCATTTATAGCAATGTGGACAGCTTCTCTTCTGAGCACAAAATACGGAAAAGGATAACAGGAGCTACATGTGAATGAGCTTAACATAATCACTTAGTTACTTGAGAAAGAAAATGGTCAGAGCAGTCTTTTTTTGCTCCAGTAAAATGCATAGGATCAATGATGATAGGAATCCCCATTGGTGAAGTTGGTTATGCTTAAGCATTCTCAGTGGTTTTCTTTATATAACAGGCCTTACTGCCTGCACCTGGAAATTTGTCGGTGAATTCGGTTAAGAGCATGATTGGTGTCACAGACAGGAAAAAATATTGATATATTCACAAAATTATTGTTCAGTTTGAAATTTTATTTTTAGTATAATTTGAACTAAAAATGAAAACCTAAACTGGGCAATAATTATGGGAAGGAGGGTGTACAAACTATGAAAAACCTCATCTCTTTACACTATTTAAGTAGTAAAAACAAACTAAACGGCTGTGTGATGCGACTACAATCATCATCTTCTTGAGACGAGTCAGACGACGCCGAAGTTGTACAATTGTGAAGTGTCACTGCGATCCAAATAAGTTGGTGCAATTGAATTTAACATTTATTTTGATATAGGAAACCTTATACATTTCCTGATTAAACATAAAGCATCCATAGGACATAGAACCAGACAGCCAGTCTTTCACTCTGAAGTGAAAGCACGCCATTTTCTAAATGTAGCAACATTTAGTGAACGCTCTGGTAATTAAATCAACAAAAATATAGCCGAGTTTTCTTCTACTTTTTTTCTTCCCAGTGATGAACAACAATTCAAAACTTTTTAATTTAATACCCATTGCAATAGTGGTGGTGCTGATCGATTTGGGAATTAACTTCTGCTATGCCAGAGGTCAATTTTGGTGAGGGAATCAGATTCACCGGATAGAATAGATACACCACCTTAGTATTATGGCTCGGAATAGATTTTTAATAAAATGATTATTAAAACAAAAGAACTAACGATAATAAATGGTCATCTCATGGGGTGCATGTTAATGTGACAACAATTCTTTGCTAACAAGTAGTCATACTCTGCTATCTTGTTTAACTTGTATTTCCACATTTGCCAACTTTCAAACTCCCGTTGCATAATTGTTAATTTGTTATGTAATGTAGTCCTTTGTCCCACAGAAGTTAGGTCGTGCACTCATCTAATGGGACCGGCACGGAATTACTATAAACCCAAGAACTTTGCGTTTCAAAATATTTTTCCCCGTCTATGTAAGAATTTAAAAATACACACAAGCCCTCGAAAACGTCTACTGCAGATTTGTATCATAAGAGCGATGACTAGCCCACGAAATTTTACCAGACAATAGACGAATTGGGAGTTGAAAAGGTGTTTTACATTAAATATTTAAAGCAAGACTTTTGCAAGCATGCATGGGGCGATTAATTGGTTAAAGGTGAGTAATCGTGGAGGTGGACTGTGACCAATCCAGTTCCCATTCAGGATGAAATTATTGGGACCCGGGAACTACTGCTTCGAAATTGATATGTAAGAACAAAACTATATGAACAGGGAAGCTAATATTGCAACAAATTGCGCGCGCCCTAATTGGATTGAAAAAAATCCATCATTCTTTTTGGGTATACAGTAGAGTGAAGGAGTCATGACAGCATAACCCATGACTTAATCACGACATCATCGGTAGCAAACCGCAAAATCTTCTTTGTACCATAAAAAAAAAACGAAAACCAAAAACAAAGCGGAACGAGCTCATAAGCGTTACTAAATAATCTATACGAAGAAAAGAAAAAGAGAATTACTGAATAAATTTATAATAAGAAAACCGATCAACCATTTTCGGAAACAAACAAAGCAAGAACTTTGTAAATAATCTACAGAATCCTTCAAACTAGGCACAACAACCCTAGACACAAGTAATGAATAAAGCGAAAACGAAATCTATAAAGCCAAGAGATGGAAAAAAAGAGTCACCTCTTCATTAAGGCTGATGAGGACACACTAATAATATTCCTCTTCTCTAATTACCCTAAAAAAAGGCATAATTACCCTAGGATGAAATCGAAGAACTTGTTGACCCTAAATTTGAGCCTCGGAAGCGACACTACCATCATCATCTGACCGTACTATATTATCCGAAGCCGGGACCTCCAAACCCGGATCAACAGGCTGACCCGTCTGAACAATTCCGGCACAGTTTAAGGCGTCGGAAAACCAAGAATCGGCGTTCGGGTACACGAGAACGTAGCCCCACACCGGCTGCATTGGCTGGACGGGAAACAAGAACAACCTGATACGAGTAGAAGAAAGCGAAGCGATCGCGGCAGACAAAAAGCACTCGTGCTCTTCGAGCATGTTCTCCAGGTCCTCGTCGGTGGTGACGGAGACGAGGGTGTCGACGTCATCGCCGGGGAGCTGGTACTTCAACTGAAAAGGCCGGTTATTCAATAGGGTTTTAGAAAGGTGGCCGGTAAAAGCCGACAGACTCGCGGCGGTGCTGTGGCGTTCCACGCCGACGAGCCGCGTTTCTCCGCCGGCGTAGCAAAGGGTTCCTTGTGGACGTTGGATAAAGATGCCACCGTAGCTGCACATCAGCCGGAGCTTCTGCGGCGGGGAGTCAGCGGCGGAAAACGGCAGAGAAGTTTGTGATTCCATAGGATCAGAGGTTTCTTCACTTTTAGGCGGTTGGGTAGGGTTCTGGCTTTCTTGAGAATCGAGAACCCTTATTAATACAAAGTTGAGCTAACATAATTATGGTAAAGATCTTGTATGTCCTAATTACGATGTGTTCACTAAAATGATTTAATGGTATATTTCTTGTGTACTCAATCGAACGCAATCCCATGATTGAAGGAAATTTTCCCATTCCCTGTCTGTTTTGGTACTAAGAAATCGTAAGCGATAGTGACATGCACCTTGTTTTATGGGGCTTTGTACTTAATTATCCTTTTTTAGATTTAAGTGAACTATTTTTTTCGGCAAATTCTTGGGTGCAGCTAGAAGTACTATGGTTTCTCTCTTATTTTTTCACATATGATCCTTATTGTATTTTTTCTCAAATTTCTTATGTTTTGCTAGTTTAGTCCCTGTCACTTTTTTTCCTCTCCCTTCATAAAATATCTCTAATTTTCAAATGAGCATATCTCTCAATCCGTGAAAAATTAGAAAACGAATTATATGTGAAATTTATAGTACTCGTCGAGATCTACCCAACGAGATCCATATGGAATATTTTTTTCGAAAAAATTTGACTAAATTTTGATGGGGCAGAAATGAAGAAAATTTGTATGTTATATGGATGGATATCTAATTTAAAAATATGGATAGCCAACTTATTTTATCTGAATATTCTTGTAAAATTTATATCTCTCAATCCGTAAAGAATTAAAAAATAAGTTATATAAGAAATTTGTAGAGCTCAACGAGATCTATCCTATATGATTAATATTGAATATTAATTACGAAAAATAAAAAAATAAAATACTCCAGACAGAAATGAAGAAACTATTTGTGTTGGATATTCAGTACAAAGACCTTGCATAAGCATTAGTAAACCGGTGGATAGGCGGCCAATTCAAATTCACTCTCACATTTTTTGCTGATGGAAATAGGTACATTCGGAGGCGTTGGATAAACACTACAAAAGTAATGAATAGTCGCCGCGATTTGGAGAAGCAGTAAAAATGATTAGATAAGAAATACAAACCGGTTGGATAATCAGTGTGAAAAATACGAACAAGGATATCCAAGATAAATGTAAAAGGAAAAAAAATTGAAGAAGCAGGGGAAACCGGTTAGTTGGATAATCTGTATGAAAACATTGAACAACTATTTTTCAAAAAAAAATAAAAGAAAAAAGAATGATTAGACAAACAGTACAAAATCTATTTGGATAAACAGAGAAAACGGTTGGATAACCCATGCAAAACGGTTGGATTGTCAGTACAAAAGGCCGGACAAAGATTTTCACAAAAAAAAAGAAAAAAAAATTGATTAGATAATTAGTACCAAACAGTCGGATATCCATATGTTCATTACTAATTATCCGAAGATTTTATACTATATATCCATATATTTTAAATGCTTATCCAACTAATATGTTTTCCCTTATCCACCATAACAGTGGACTTCAAATTTTAACAAAACTGTGTAAATATGTTAATAACAAAGATTAAACGAATGGAGATCCAATTAAATTTGATTTCTCAAAATTCAATCATGTGATTAAGAGTGGGGGTGGTTATTGCTGATAACTAAAAAATGATTAGACAAGTAGTACAAACATATTTAGACAATCAGTAAAAATAATTGGACAACCAATACAAAATGTTTGGACAATCAGTATAAACACATTGGACAAGAAGTCAAAATAATTGAAAGTAATACAAATTAGTTGGATAATCAGTATAAAAAAATTGGACAATTATGTTTATAATAAAAAGAAAAAAAATGTTGGATAGCGACTACAAAGAAGTTGGATAATCAGTATGAACATATTAAAAGAATATTTTCTCAAAAAAAAAGGGAAAAAAAATTAGACAAACATTCTAAACCATGTTTGGATAAGCAGTTACAAATGATTAGATAACCAATACAAAACGGTTGGATAGTCAGTATGGAAAAGAAACTGGAGAAACTGGACAATGATTTTAATAAAAAGGAAAAGAAAAAAGGGGTTGGAGAAACACTGCAAACCGGTTGGATAATCGTTATGGAAACATTGGACAACCATTTTTTCAGGAAAAAAAAAGATGATCGGATAACCATTACAAATCATTTGGATAACCAGTAAAAAAAATTGGATAAGGAGTACAAACTGGTTGGATAATCATTATAAAAAATTGGACAATTATTTTCATAAATTACAAGCAAAAAAAAAAGTCGGATAACCATCACCGATAAGTTAGATAATCAGTACGAACATATAAATTGGATATACATTTTCTCAAAAAAAAAAAAATTACCATTGGACAAGTAGTACAAATTCTGTGTGGATAAATAGCAAAAATAATTGGATAAGCAGTATAAACTGGTTGGATAGTCTGTACAAAAAATTGGACAATATTTTTTATAAAAAAAAAACAAGAAAAACCGGTTGAATAACCATCACCAAAAAGTTCGATAATAAGTGTGAACACATTGTACATATATGTTTTCAAAAGAAAAAGAAATTCTGTTTAGATAATCAGTCAAAATGATTGGATAACCAATACAAAATGGTTGGATAGTCAATACAAAAACATGGATGCACAAATACTTTTTTCGTTCAGCTTGTATTTTGATTTTTAAATTTTTCGAATTTAATATTCAATATTGATGTTATCGGATAGATCTCGTTGAGTACTATAAATTTCATATATTATTCGTTCACAAATTTTTCACGGATCATGAGTTATGTCATTTAAAGATTAGAGATGTTTTTTTAGAGGAGAGAGAAAAAAAAACATGGACTAAATTTGCAAAATATAGGAAGTTATTTAGAAAAAGTACAATAAGGACTAATAATGCAAAAAATAGGAGGGCGACTATGGTGGTTCCGGGTACAATCAAGATGGTCTCATTTTTTCTGACTCAGTTAAAATATCACTAAAGTAGTGTTTTCTATGTATAATGTAAATAAAAAGAGAATCATTTGTTCAGGACAAGAATATTGTCACCGCATCTAATTGAATTATGCCAATTCTTTCTTCTTCTTCTTTTTTTTTATTACACACTAGTATTATTCTCGTGTGTTGCATGGCGAGTTTTAGATATTATTGCGTTAAAATTTAAAAGACACAAGTCTCCATGAAAGGGTAAGTATAAATGGCCCATGAACATTATTGATGATGTAATTTTATATGAAAAATCTCAAGTACAGCGCAATCAAAATCATTGCTAAAGTATAACAAATCATTTTCCATTCAGATGTGTTTGAAAAGAAATGGTAAAAAAGAAAAGTTTTGATCTAAAGAACACAAAGTTCACGTCTAACTCTCAAAAGAAATTACACCTACAAATATTTATTGGAAATGAAGAGAATTAAAAATTTTCAACTGGTAGTCTCACTGTTTCAATCTCATGGATTGAATCAACAATAAGTTTCTAATCAAATCTTATGTCAAATGAAACTCATCTAATGGTTGTAAAACAACCACAAAAAATGAAAGGATTGGTGGTAGCAGAAATCGAAAACAATAACCAATATATTAGTTGACTTCTAACAAATAATAAAGTCAATTTTAAATTAACTCTTTAACCATAACAGTGATCAAAGGACGTAGATTCAAAATATAGTCATAGCTCTTTTTAAGTATCTCAATTTCCCACCTAGATTCCATGAAATTAAGCTACAAACTCAAACACTGGTAATCTAAAATTAATTAAAACATTAAAAACTAAAAGAATGTGAACAAAATTGTTCAAATGTGCTCAGGTGTGCTCATCGCATATATACAGAATATTGCCAATAGATTAAACATGCCACAGATTTTTTCAAAAGCAAGACGTTACAAAAAGATCCAACACATTTCTATATTTCAGTGAAAAATATCAACATCATCAGGTTAAAAATAAATTTTAGTAATAGGTTATTCACAAGCAATAACAACCGTATTGGGAAAAAAAAAATGAGATTGACAAAAAAAAAAATCTATGAAATTTCATACGATATCTCATATATGTATTAGAAATGGTGTATTCGTGAACCTTTATGTCTTTTGTTATAAAGAATCCTAATTGTAGTAGGTAAATGATTAAATGCAAATTATGATAGGAAATTAATTCCATTTTTTATTTTGAAATATTATCCGTAAAATCAAGACTATTTTGAATTTTAAATGTGAATAAAAGTTTACTAAATATATTTATGTTCTCCATATTTAATTTAACATACCAGATAATAAAGATTAAAAAGTAAATTTGCATTTAACGATTTAACTAAATACTTTTTACTGTTTAAAGAATTATCAATCGTTAAATGGCATGTATCCATGAAATTAATTGATGGGGAATTGAAAGACACATCATCACTCCATCTCCTTTCCTTTAATACATACATAGGATAGGATTAGAATTACTTAATTTATTAAATATGTGGTCTTTACTGGGGAAGATGATGCCCCAGAAAACTCAATCTCTTTTCGCTAAAATTTAATATATCTAGATAGCTATGAATTTAATAATAGTCACTAACATCTAGAGTATTACTATTTACTTCCATTATATTTTTCAATCATATGGATTAAGAAGGAAAATTGGATTCTAAGAGGGAAGACATTACTTTGAGGTAGCATATTACGACTGTCCAGAAAAGTCTCAGTGCAAGACGATCCTAATAACAATAAAAAGTAATTTTCTCAAAAATAAAAAATCTTAGTTAATGATTTCTTCTTCTGATTCCAACGCGTAGCACATGAACATAAACAATCAATAAGATCATAATATTATATTTCCATGTAGAGCATAATATATATATAGGGAAATTTTATGGTCCAGTCATAAGTTTTTGACTGAACTATTTAGTTTAAGTCCATCTAGTAAAGATTTACAACATCATATTTGATAATGAGGTCTACAACACCATAACAAACCCATGTTGACTTGCTAATCAGGTATTTTTTTAAGAAATTAGTAAATGAAATTAAAACTGATACATATAAGTGCTTCGACAGAAGACGATAGTCTAATTATTTTTGTAACAGTGAGTTTCAGATTTTACATTTTGCAAATCAACGATCTCCAAAACTTCTAATTTCATTAAGAAGACTAAAAGAGTATGAGGAGTAGCAGGAGAGCAACATTCATGATTCCAAATCCACTTTTGGAAACACATTCTTCTGTCTATGCATTAGTCAGGGAGTGTCTTCAGTTGGAGTTAATTATCACAACATCCTAAAATAAGTCCGAGTAACTGGACGGACAATATTTGGGCTGGACCAGAAAGAACTCATCAATGGTCGATTCCATAATCCGTCCTAATCAGCATGTACGATTTATGAACTGTCAAAATCCCGGTAAAGAAGACAGCTAAGAGCAGGTGAAGGATGTGTCATGTACATTAAGTGACCTGGCTAATTAAGAACGAACGACGAAGGCAGCCGAATCAAATCTGGAATTGGGTGAATGTAGCTTGGGATTCTGTTACGGATACTGCCAATAACCTCAAAGATGCACTAACCAGACACAATGATCATCATGATCACTATCATCATTAACACTGGCAGAATAGGAATGCTAACGAATCGGAGCATGATGCCGATGCAAGATTCAAGTTATTTCTTGTTGAATCTGGGTTCATGTTATTAAGAAGTGTTTAAGTTTTGCAGTTCAAAACAAAATGAATGTCCATCATCATTGTTTTTTATTTTAATATTTAGCTTTAGTTTGATGGTTTTATTTAGATAAATCGAAACAGAAAAGGCCGATAATCATATCTGGACACATTGTTCTTTTGATTGGATATTATTCAAGGAATGAATCATAAGATACTCCTCTTCCTCCCGAACTGTCTCGGAAGCGATTAAAGGAAAATCATTGTATCTTATAAAATAGTCACAAGTCGATAAAAACAAGTACTTGATCAATCAAAGATGATTCAGTAGTAAGCAAAATAACTAAATATCACAAGGAACTCACCAGGAACTCAAAATAGGGGGAAAAAATGTGCATATAAAGGCATTCAATTATTGCATAGAGCTGGTCATACATAAGAGAAGCAAACTACAATTTCTTAGGCCAGAGAGAAAATACGACCATGGAACGAAAACGTTCCCACGCCCACATAAAACTTAGGATCTATGTCGCAATATCTCCTGCCCATGACAAAGTCCGCAGCCCCAGACTAAGTTTCCCCAAATTTTTTCTCCGACCTACCCTTAATTTCACTATATATATATATATATATATATATATGGAAGCGACTATGGTCCAGTCGACAAAATGATCCGGTTGACATTGCTAACCGTCGGATGATTAAAGCTGATAATAGCCGCTAACTTAAAATTAGGTGCTCTAAAATTAATGTATACCACATCACTCCTCATTGTATTGCTACTACTAAATTGTAAATCTTATAGATTACCTACTGCTAAAAAGTAAAAACTTGGTTCATATACATCATAATTTCTATTCCGCCACAAAGCCCTCTTCCAGGTTTTCCTTTTTCCCGAAGAAAATCCTTAAGGTCCCATCCCCATCCCCCTCCGGGAAAAGGTTCCATTGTAAAAAAATTTTGAACATCCTAATAGAGAATTTCTTTCGCAATGGAAAAACTTTAATGTTAGGACAGAACGAACGAAGTAGTAAGTACCTTTGCACCACCAGCCTGCTTAATTTTTCTTCCCCATAATCTTGGAAATAAGCTTAGCCTTATGATTGGCATGTTTACCGGCAACACACCTTTACAGTAAGCACAAAGCGTGACATCGATCAATGGAACCTTGTCCTCGGTGGTCGGTCTTATTCTTAGATTCATGGGGAACCAATAAAAGACCGGAGCTTGTCCACGTTCATGATTGTGCCATGATAGTCATGGCGGAACCCTGTGCCCTGTGGAAGTGCGTGACTTGTGACAATTTCTCGGAGGAAACGGTCGAGGTGAAAGCTATCTTTGAGTTAATTTCATCCAAAGTATTGAGCTATGAATTAGAATTTAGAAGTCACTGCTGGCTGAAATTTGTATTACTCTCGTAATTCAATTGTTGCACATGATTTAATGGGGAGGGGAAAGAAAACAAATATGCAACGCATAAAAAAAAATCAATACCAAAAACAACGGTTTAATTGTTTAAAGAACAACAAGAGTAATAAAAGGGTCAAAAGCAACAAATGGTCGAAGGTCTTCATGCTCTCAATAACCAGTATAAATTTTTCATCGTTATAGAGGAAGATGAGGGTTGTCTTCGAGATGCTACAGGCCAGCTGATTATGATGAAAGGTCATGAGAGGCCATTAACATTCATCAAATTGGTGTTATATTTTTGATTGCTTAATTAGCTGACTTATTTTTGCTTGTTTATGACTTCATTTCTAGAAGTCAATTTTTTGCTGTACAGACTCACGAAAAATCCTTTTCCTGGAATAATAAAATTTTATTTATGCTAAAGAGTGGATAAATAAAGTAATTTTATCATAGTGGTCCTTGGTAATCTTAATTTTGTGTACGTCGGAAAAAGTATCCATGGTGGTGTAATTTTTTCATCTAGAGGAATGAGCTTATGTTAAGTCTTTCGTTCATTGTTGCTTCGAAATTCGAATAACTAATGCTTGTTTGATTTTTATGGTACTCGTCTTTGCTAATTTCTGTAAATGCCTCAGTGAGCAAAGTTGTGGTCAATCCAAACAGGGCGCACTATTGTTCACCTTTAAATTTGAATCACCCACTAGATCTGTTGATTTTTAAGTCAGACATAAGCTTGCTGCCATAACTTTTGATCAATTTATGGGGTCACCATCTATCATTCATGTCACACGGATTCCCTGGAATTCTCACTTTTTTTAATTTAATTGCTCAAGTATTTTTATGTTTTTTTAAAGTCATCTCCGCCTGAATTTTGCTTAATTATTGTGTGTCTTCCGGCGTACATACTCTACTTTGCCAGGATTTCTGGCAACTTTTTCTGCCATATGTGGAATTTAAAGCTTAATTTTGATTTATCGTAATAGTTTTATTAAAAAAGATAAAAAAAAGTTATCTAATTAATATAGTTTCGTTATGATGTTGCACATCCCTGATATGTTTATATTTGACCTATTTAATATATCCCTAATTTGTGATTTTTGCAATATATTTTTAGCACAAATATACTATATATATGATTTTATCTTTATTTGTAGGTTTTGTACTCAAATGGAAGAATTGTTAAGGTTCTGGACTAAATTGAAAAGAAAAAGCAACTCAAAGGGAAAATTGAAGATTTGTTAAATTGATAAGGAAGAAATTCAAGCACTTGAATAGTTGGCGGAGTTTTCATTTAAATTGGCTTGAAAAAAAAATAACTTTCTTATTCCTGAAGAAATAGGGTTTGAGAAAAGCCTATAAAAAGAGGATTAGGGTTTTATTTTTGAAGAGAGACTTAACCACAAATTTTCTCCTTACACCCGCAGCCCTCCACCAACTCCGCCAAAATCCATCACCTCACCCCCATCTCCTCCACGCCTCCATTAGCCCTCCACCACCTTGCTTCCTCTACACTCCCACGTACCACCTTGCTTCCTCTCCACCGAACACCCACCTTGAGCCAGCCCAAAACTCCATGCCTTCATCATCAACTCCCCATCTCCAACACCAGCCGCAGCCACACATCACCACACATCATCATCACCTTAATCATCATCATAACCTCCCCATCACCTCCACGCACCAAACAAAACCCACGCGACCAGCACAACACCTCAAGCCTCTACGCACCATCATCGCCAAGAGAAGCAGCATTGGATCAACTTCAATCTCAACTATTGGCTATCTTCTCCCGAGTTTCATTGTTTTATTTATTTTTGAGATGATGTGTAGCTAAATTATTTAATCTAGGGTTTCGGATGTAGCCGCCGTACTATTTAATTTAATTTAAGTTATGATTGTGACTTTTTCATTTAATTAATAATTATTATTCTTGTTATTCATCCATGTGAATACCTGATCAATATTTGCATGTTTTAAGGTGCTAGTTGAAGCAGCGAGAGTGGAAGGCTAGTATTAGTTTGCAGGAATAATAAACTTAGGTAGTGAGCCACGAGAGTAGGAGTACTGCCTTTGCGACTAGTAATTCCAAAGTTCTTAACGTGCTTTTATTAATCCCTATAGTCACGAGAGTTGTCATAGGGTTAGTTTAAGTAAGAGGGTTATGACACGAGAGTGTATAATTCTTAAATTGGTAAATTGTCGTGAGATTAATGAGAGTCGAAAGTCATATATTTATAGATTAAGTTAAACTGAGTAGTCGGTTGGTGAACCCTTTGCCCTAGGTTTTTCTTTTACTTATTTATATCTTTAAATAATTGCAATGGTTAGTTTTAGGTTTAGAATAGTTTTAAAATTGATAAATTATTAATCTAAATAATAATAGGAAATAGTTTTAACCGGTACTTGGTAACTTTCTTTGTGGGATCGACCCTGCTTGCTACTTTACTACTAGTAATTATATTAAGTAGGTAATTAATATTTGACTAGTGTGACGACGGCTTGTCAAATTTGGCGCCGTTGCCGGGGATGGCACTAACCAATATAAACACTAGATTATTTCTTTTATTAATTTAGATTTGTATATATTTTCCTTTGTTTTATTAATTTTTATTTAATTTTTTATTTTTTATTTATAATTTTATTCTCCTTTCTTTCTTGTGTCAATATTTTTGTAGGATTTTGGAGTTCTCTTGGAGAATTATAACTATGGATATGGAGAGACTCCGTATTATAGTTATAATTCTGAATATAGAGACTATCCTACATATCAAGAATATCCGTACTCTTGGATTAATTCATCTTCTGATCTTTACTATGGTTGTGATTATCAAGGGTATTCATTTGATGATGGGTACAATTCTTGTTTTGAGAGCGCGTATATGAGTCCTGAGATGTTGTCATGTTTGGAGAGAATTGATAAATTGCTGGATGACATCGAGGAGAAAAATGTTTCAAATTTCTCTCAAGAGGATTGTTATTATTCCAACGTATCTGAATATCAGCGACCACAAGCTCAACCTACTCTGATAGAGCTACCAGATTTACAGACACCACCTCGTCAACCTACTATGAGAGAGTTAGCATCTTCGTATCAACAGCCGCCTGCTCAACCTCAACTTAGTATTAGAGAAGGAGCTCTTCGAGAATTGCAATGTGAAAAAGGCCAACTACTTATTGAAGAGGTCAATCAATATAGGTTGAGTGTGGGGTTGCCGGAATGTGATCCTATAGAAAATTTGCTTAAATTGAATAAGAATGAGAAGATGTTGAAGATGATTCATTGGTCCAGTCTCCCCATCCACCATCTCAAACTGAGCTTGAATGTGAAGAATTAGAAAGACCGAAGAGATTAACAGTCCAGATATTCCAAGTTCTCTTGATTCGTTTGGTATATACATAGTAGTTAAGCATGATTTCTCATTCTAAGAGTTGGTGACAAAAATGTGGATCAAGTTGATTTTGATGAGAATAACATTCCTATAGTTTCAAAAGAAGGGTTTGAAGTAGACACATGTGGTGAGGTTGTCCCTAGTACAAGAGATTTTGAGGATGATGTGAAAAATGGTTCAATGAAAGACCAAGAAGAGGATCAATGGTACAAGATTGAATTTAAGAAAGAGGATGTTGTAGCTTTGGAGTATAAGTTTATATTTTCTCATGGCAAAGAGGGCCAGTACAAGAGATTCATTGTTGTTGCTAAACATGGTTTCTTCTGGTATCGAGATGGGTATTCTGACTGATTGGCCATGGAGTCCGGCTAAAGACTATAAAACAGCGCTTATTGGGAGGCAATCCAACATTTTATTTTGCTCTATTTTATTTTCTATTTCATGAATAACTGATGGTTGAGTTTTTTGTTCCTGATTATTTGGAAATCTTTGATTTCTATATTTTCGTAGTTTTTCTTAATCATCTACCTGATAAAATTTACCTTTATTTTTGTTTATGTGTGGAGCTACTTTCTAGAATAAATGGTGATGGAAAATGCTTGGATGGTTATGCAACAGATCTCTTTATTCTTCAACTTTAACAATTTCTGTTTTCCGCTTCACATTTCCAAGGTTGTGTCGTTTCTTTTCATTTCTTTTATTTTTGTCTTTTCTTTTCTTTTAACTTGGTTGCTTTTCTTTTGTGTTTTATACATTGAGGGCAATGTATATTTTAAGTGTTGGGGAGAGGCATTTGTGTTTGGTGTGTTTTGTGTTTTTTTCATTAAAAAAAATTGAAAAAATTGAAAAATCCAAAAAGGCCTAGGATGAGGATGGTTTAATTATCTATAACATGTAAGAATTAGACTATTTTGAATTGTATTGCTTAACTTGTGTAATTCAATATGTTGCTTTGAATACCCTGCTTTTTATGCGATTAGTCGTGACTGTGGGATAAGCCTAACGTGAGACATAGTTGCATGAGTTTGATGTAGGTATGCCATGAAAAGTTGAGTTTGATTCACTCATACTTATATGATATGTATGTGGAACCCATAGTTGTGAAGGAAAAGCAAGGCATTAACCCAATATCAGCCTTAAAAAATCTTATTGCTTTGACACTTTCTGCTAAGTAAGTTTGGGGGAGGGGTGTTGGTGGATGCTTCTGAGGTTAGGTTAATTTTAATGAGGGAGAAATGAAGAGCATTCAATGTTGATGCTAGCCCCATTGAGAGGTGAGGAAATGGCAATCCTGAGCGGAGAGTTCTCAGGCCTGGTGAGGAAAAATAGATATATAGACTGCCCTAAGTTGCTGAGCCACTATGTGTAGGAGTGGAAAAATGCTCTTGGTAGTGGCCTGAGTAGGAAAGAGTCCTGAAGAAAGCCGCATGGACCGAAGAATGGGTTACGAGGGGAATAGGTTGTCTGTGAGATAAGTCATTCTACTTCATAGCATGTCTGGTGGTCCATTGCATTGAAATATGGTATGAAATGTGAGTCAGTTGTTAAAGTTTTAATAAATGACATATTTGCAGCAGAGCTTTTGTTTTCTCTGTTAAATGTAAAGTAATGTCCCTGAGAAACGAATAGCACACACAAACACAAGCGTGGGGGCTAAAAGTGCATATGGTTTGCATTTTGTTAGGTAGTGCATATCAGAGATAGTCAACATCTTTGTGTAATATGATATTAAATCTCTAAGGCTGCCGAATTAAATCATTAAATTTTTTGTTTGTTTTAATTCTTGGGAATGCTTGAGGACAAGCAATAATTCAAGTTTGGGGGTATTTGATATGCTTATATTTTACCTATTTATTATATCCCTAATTTGTGATTTTTGCAATATATTTTGAGTACAAATATGCTATGATATGATTTTATCTTTATTTGTAGGTTTTGTATTCAAATAGAAGAATTGTTGAGGTTTTGGACTAAATTGAAAAGAAAAAGCAACTCAAAGGGAGAACTGAAGATTTGTTAAATTGACAAGGAAGAAATTGAAGCACTTGAAGAGTTGGAGGAGTTTTAATTTAAATTGGCTTGAAAAAAAAAATAACTTTCTTATTCCTGAAGAAATAGGGTTTGAGGAAAGCCTATAAAAAGAGGATTAGGGTTTTATTATTGGAGAGAGACTTAACCACAAATTTTCTACTTACACCCGCAGCCATCTACCAACTCCGCCGAAATCCATCACCTCACCCCCATCTCCTCCACGCCTCCATCAGTCCTCCACCACCTTGCTTCCTCTCCACCCCCACGCACCACCTTGCTTCCTCTCCACCGAACACCCACCTTGAGCCAGCCCAAAACTCCATGCCTTCATCATCAACTCGCCATCTCCAACACCAGCCGCAGGCCCGCAGCCACACATCACCACACATCATCATCACCTTAATCATCATCATCAACTCCCAATCACCTCCATGCACCAAACAAAACCCACGTGACCAGCACAACACCTCAAGCCTCTATACACCATCATCCCCAAGAGGAGCAGCATTGGATCAACTTCAATCTCAACTATTGGCTATCTTCTCCCGAGTTTCATTATTTTATTTATTTTTGAGATGATATGTAGCTAAATTATTTAATCTAGGGTTTTGGATGTAGCTGCCGTACTATTTAGTTTAATTTAAGTTATGATTGTGATTTTTTCATTTATTTAATATTTATTATTCTTCTTTTTCATCCATGTGAATACCTGATCAATATTTGCATGCTTTAAGGTGCTAGCTGAATTACCGAGAGTGGAAGGCTAGTATTAGTTTGTAGCAATAATAAACTTAGGTAGTGAGCCACGAGAGTAGGAGCACCGCCTTTGTGACTAGTAATTCCAAAGTTCTTAATGTACTTTTATTAATCCCTATTGTCACGAGAGTAGTCATAGGGTTAGTTTAAGTAAGAGGGTTATGACACGAGAGTGTATAATTTTTAAATTGGTGAATTGTTGTGAGATTAATGAGAGTCGAAAGTCACATATTTATAGATTAAGTTAAACTGAGTAGTTGGTTGGTGAACCCTTTGCCCTATGTTTTTCTTTTATTTATTTATATCTTTAAATAATTGCAATTGTTAGTTTTAAGTTTAGAATAGTTTAAAATTGATAAATTGTTAATCTAAATAATAATAAGAAATAGTTTTAACCGGTACTTGGTAACCTTCTTTGTGGGATTGATCCTGCTTGCTACTTTACTTCTAGTAATTATATTAAGTAGGTAATTAATATTTGACTAGTTTGATGACGGTTAGTCAAATTTGGCGCCGTTGCCGGGGAAGGCACTAAACAACATCAAAACTAGATTATTTCTTTTATTAATTTAGATTTTTATATATTTTCCTTTGTTTTATTTATTTTTATTTTATTTTTTATTTTTTATTTATAATTTTATTCTCCTTTCTTTCTTGTGTCAATATTTTTGTAGGATTTTGGAGTTATCATGGAGAATTAAGAATTATAACTATGGATATGGAGAGACTCCGTATTATAGTTATAATGCTGAATATGGAGACTATCCTACATATCAAAAAGATCCATACTCTTGGAACAATTCGTCTTCTGATCATTACTATAGTTATGATTATCAAGGGTATTCATTTGATGTTGGGTACAATTCTGGTTTTGAGAGTGCGTATATGGGTCCTGAGATGTTGTCATGTTTGAAGAGAATTGATGAATTGCTAGATGAGATTGAGGAGAAAATTTTTTCAAATTCTCTCAAGAGGATTGTTATTATTCCAACGCAACTGAAAATCAGCCACCACAAGCTCAACCTACTCTTATAGAGCTACCAGATTTACAGGCACCACCTCGTCAACCTACTATGAGAGAGTTAGCATCTTCGTATCAACAGCCACCTGCTCAATCTCAACTTAGTGTTAGAGAGGGAGTTCTTCGAGAATTGCAAAGTGAAAAAGGCCAACAACTTATTGAAGAGGTCAATCAATATAGGTTGAGTGTGGGGTTGCCGGAATATGATGCTATGGGAAATTTTCTTAAATTGAATAAGAATGAGAAGATTTCTGAAGATGATTCATTGGTCCAGTCTCCCCATCCACCATCTCAAACTGAGCTTGAATGTGAAGAATTAGAAGAGACCGAAGAGATTAACAGTCTAGATATTCTAAGTTCTCCTGATTCATCTGGTATATGCATAGTAGTTTAGCATGATTCGCTCATTCTGAGAGTTGGTGACAAAAATGTGGATCAAGTTGATTTTGATGAGAATAACATTCCTATAGTTTCAAAAGAAGGTTTGAAGTAGACACATGTGGTGAGATTGTCCCTAGTACAAGAGATTTTGAGGATGATGTGAAAAATGGTTCAATGAAAGACCAAGAAGAGGATTAATGGTACAAGATTGAATTTGAGAAAGGGGTTCATGGCAAAGAGAGCCAGTACAAGAGATTCATTGTTGCTGGTGAACATGGTTTCTTCTGGTATCGAGATGGGTACTCTGACTGATTGGCTATAGAGTCCGGCTAAAGACTATAAAACAACGCTTATTGGGAGGCAACCCAACATTTTATTTTGCTTTATTTTATTTTATTTTTCATGAATAAGTGATGGTTGAGTTTTTTGTTCCTGATTATTTGGAAATCTTTGATTTCTAAATTTTTGTGGTTTTTCTTAATCATCTACCTGATAAAATTTACCTTTGTTTTTGTTTATGTGTGACAGCTACTCTCTAGAATAAATGGTGATGGAAAATGCTTGGATGGTTATGCAATAGATCTCTTCATTCTTTAACTTCAACAATTTTCGTTTTCTGCTTCACATTCCCAAGGTTGTGTCGTTTCTTTTCATTTCTTTTATTTTTGTCTTTTCTTTTCTTTTCACTTGGTTGCTTGTCTTCTGTGTTTTATACATTGAAGGCAATGTATACTTTAAGTGTAGGGGAGAGGAATTTGTGTTTGGTGTGTTTTGTGTTTTTTTTTCATTAAAAAGAATTGAAAAAATTGAAAAATCCAAAAAGGCCTAGGATGACGATGGTTTAATTATCTATAACATGTAAAAATTAGACTATTTTGAATTGTATTGCTTAACTTGTGTAATTCAATATGTTGCTTTGAATATCCTGCTTTTTATGCGATTAGTCGTGACTCTGGGATAAGCGTAAAGTGAGACATAGTTGCATGAGTTTGATGTAGATATGCCATGAAAAGTTGAGTTTGATTCACTCATACTTATATGATAGGTATGTGGAACCCATCATGTTGTGAAGGAAAAGCAAGGCATTAACCCAATATTAGCCTTAAAAAACCTTATTGCTTTGATACTTTGTGTTAAGTACGTTTGGGAGAGGGGTGTTGGCGGATGCTTCTGAGGTTAGGTTAATTTTAATGAGGGAGAAAGGAAAAGCATTCAATGTTGATGCTAGCCACATTGAAAGATGAGGAAATGGCAATCCTGAGCGGAGAGTCCTCAGGCCTGGTGAGGAAAAATAGATATATAGACTGCCCTAAGTTGCTGAGCCACTATGTATAGGAGTGGAAAAATGCTCTGGGTAGTGGCATGAGTTGGAAAGAGTCCTGAAGAAAAGCCGCATGGACAGAAGAATGGGTTACGAGGGGAATAAGTTGTCTGTGAGATAAGTCCTTCTACTTTATAGCATGTCTGGTGGTCCATTGCATTGAAATATGGTATAAAATGTGAGTCTGTTGTTAAAGTATTAATAAATGACATATTTGCAACAGAGCTTTTGTTTTCTATGTTAAATGTAAAGTGATGTCCCTGAGAAACGAATAGCACACACAAACACAAGCGTGGGGGCTAAAAGTGCATATAGTTTGTATTTTGTTAGGTAGTTCATATTTGAGGTAGTCGAGATCTTTGTGTAATATGATATTAAATCTCTGAGGCCGCCGAATTAAATCTTAAATGTTTTTGTTTGTTTTAATTCTTGAGAATGCTTGAGGACGATCAATAATTCAAGTTTGGGGGTATTTGATATGCTTATATTTTACCTATTTATTATATCCCTAATTTGTGATTTTTGCAATATATTTTGAGTACAAATATGCTATGATATGATTTTATCTTTATTTGTAGGTTTTGTATTCAAATAGAAGAATTGTTGAGGTTTTGAACTAAATTGAAAAGAAAAAACAACTGAAACGGAGAATTGAAGATTTGTTAAATTGACAAGGAAGAAATTGAAGCACTTGAAGAGTTGGAGGAGTTTTAATTTAAATTGGCTTGAAAAAAAAATAACTTTCTTATTTTTGAAAAAATAGGGTTTGAAGAAAGCCTATAAAAAGAGGATTAGGGTTTTATTTTTGGAGAGAGACTTAACCACAAATTTTCTCCTTACACCCGCAGCCCTCCACCAATTCCGCCGAAATCCATCACCTCACCCCCATCTCCTCCACGCCTCCATCAGCCCTCCACCACCTTGCTTCCTCTCCACTCCCACGCGCCACCTTGCTTCCTCTCCACCGAACACCCACCTTGAGCCAGCCCAAAACTCCAAGCCTTCATCATCAACTCCCCATATCCAACACCAGCCGCAGCCACACATCACCACACATCATCATCACCTTAATCATCATCATCAACTCCCCATCACCTCCACGCACCAAACAAAACCCACGCGACCAGCACTACACCTCAAGCCTCTACGCACCATCATCGCCAAGAGGAGCAGCATTGGATCAACTTCAATCTCAACTATTGGCTATCTTCTCCCGGGTTTCATTGTTTTATTTATTTTTGAGATGATGTGTAGTCAAATTATTTAATCTAGGGTTTTGGATGTAGCCGCTGTACTATTTAATTTAATTTAAGTTATGATTGTGACTTTTTCATTTAATTAATATTTATTATTCTTGTTTTTCATCTATATGAATACCTGATCAATATTTGCATGCTTTAAGGTGCTAGCTGAAGTACCGAGAGTGTAAGGTTAGTATTAGTTTGTAGGAATAATAAACTTAGGTAGTGAGCCACGAGAGTAGAAGCACCACCTTTGCAACTAGTAATTCCAAAGTTCTTAATATGCTTTTATTAATCCCTATAGTCACGAGATTAGTCATAGGGTTAGTTTAAATAAGAGGGTTATGACACGAGAGTGTATAATTCTTAAATTGATGAATTTTCGTGAGATTAATGAGAGTCAAAAGTCACATATCTATAGATTAAGTTAAACTGAGTAGTCGGTTGGTGAACCCTTTGCCCTAGGTTTTTCTTTTACTTATTTATATCTTTAAATAATTGCAATTGTTAGTTTTAGGTTTAGAATACTTTAGAATTGATAAATTGTTAATCTAAATAATAATAAGAAATAGTTTTAACCGGTACTTGGTAACCTTCTTTGTGGGATCGACCCTGCTTGCTACTTTACTACTAGTAATTGTATTAAGTAGGTAATTAATATTTGACTAGTGAGACGTCGGTTTGTCAATCCCATAATTACATATGGTACACCTCTCTTTTATTGGCTAGATTTTAACTGGATGTTTCAGTCAAAATCTAATGACTGGATCATAGAATTTCCTATATATATATATATATATATATATATATATATATATATATATATATATATATATATATACGAGATATATATATATATATAGTGCTTGCCGGGGCGTTGCCTGACCCATTCATAACAATATATTTTAAAATTAGATATACAAACTTGTAAAAGTATTTTTCAACTTTAACTCAACTTGTTATGTTTAAATTTTGAAAATAATAAAAGAATCATTTATTTATTATTGATTGATTATAATTATGACAATAACTAAACCAAAAAGTACCATAACTTCGCCTGCTATATTCATTCGTCACCATAAGTTCAAAAATAACTTAAGTCCCATCAAAAGTTGAGTTTCTGTCTTCTTTCACTTTTTCGTCCATTCACCTTCCAAAAAGTAATAGAAGGCTGACTTTCACGTGCCTTTCTAGAAGGGGCAATTTTGTCATTTTGGATCTTAAGTTATTTTTGAACTTATGGTGGCGAACGAATATAGCAGGCGAAGTTATGGTACTTTTTGGGTTAATTATTGTTTCTTTTATTAATTTAGATTTGTATATAGTTTCCTTTGTTTTATTAATTTATTATTTTTATTTTTATTTTTATTGTTATTCTCTTTTCTTTCTTGTGTCAATATTTTTGTAGGATATTTGAGCTATTATGGAGAATTTTAACTATGGATATGGAGAGACTCCGTATTATGGTTATGATTCTGAATATGGAGATTATCCTACATATCAAGAAGATCCGTACTCTTGGAACAATTTGTTTTCTGATCCTTACTATGGTTGTGATTATCAAGGGTATTCATTTGATGCTGGGTACAATTCTGGTTTTGAGAGTGCGTATATGAGTCCTAAGATGTTGTCATGTTTGGAGAGAATTGATAAATTGCTGGATGACATCGAGAAGAAAAATGCTTCATATTTCTCTCAAGAGGATTGTTACCACTCAAATGCATCAGTATATCAACCACCACCTTCTCAACCCACTCTAAGAGAGTTAGCAGCTCGTCAACCTACTCTGAGAGAGCTAGCAGCCTTACAGTCATCACCTTGTCAACCCACGTTGAAAACGTTAGGATCTTCGTATCAACAGCCACCTACTCAACCTCAACTTACTGATAGAGAGGCAACTCTTCGAGATTTTCAAAGTGAAAAAGGCCAACAACTTATCGAAGAGGTCAATCAATATAGGTGGAGTGTGGGTTTGCCGGAATATGATCCTATAGGAAATTTGCTTAAATTGAATAAGAACGAGAAGATTTCTGAAGATGATTCATTCGTCCAGTCTCCCCATCCACCATCTGAAACTGAGCTTGAATGTGAAGAATTAGAAGAGACCAAAGAGATTAACAGTCCATATATTCCAAGTTCTCCTGATTCTTCTGGTATATACATAATAGTTAAGCATGATGCGCTCATTCTGAGAGTTGGTGACAAAAATGTTGATCAAGATGATTTTGATGAGAATAACATTCCTATAGTTTCAAAAGAAGGGTTTGAAGTAGACACACGTGGTGAGGTTTTCCCTAGTATAAGAGATTTTGAGGACCACATGTGTCTACTTCAAACCCTTCTTTTGAAACTATAGGAATGTTATTCTCATCAAAATCAACTTGATCAACATTTTTGTCACCAACTCTCAGAATGAGCGCATCATGCTTAACTACTATGTATATACCAGAAGAACCAGTAGAACTTGGAATATCTGGATTGTTAATCTCTTTGGTCTCTTCTAATTCTTCACATTCAAGCTCAGTTTGAGATGGTGGATGGGGAGACTGGACGAATGAATCATCTTTAGAAATCTTCTCGTTCTTATTCAATTTAAGCAAATTTCCTATAGGATCATATTCCAGCAACCCCACACTCAACCTATATTGATTGACCTCTTCGATAAGTTGTTAGCCTTTTTCACTTTGAAAATCTCGAAGAGCTGCCTCTCTAACAGTAAGTTGAGGTTGAGCAGGTGGCTGTTGATACGAAGATCCTAACTGTCTCAACGTGGGTTGACAAGGTGATGACTGTAAGGCTGCTAGCTCTCTCAGAGTAGGTTGAGGAGCTGCTAACTCTCTTAGAGTGGGTTGAGAAGGTGGTGGTTGATATATTGATGCATTTGAGTGGTAACAATCCTCTTGAGAGAAATATGAAGCATTTTTCTTCTCGATGTCATCCAGTAATTTATCAATTCTCTCCAAACATGACAACATCTTAGGACTCATATACGCACTCTCAAAACCAGAATTGTACCCAGCATCAAATGAATACCCTTGATAATTACAACCATAGTAAGGATCAGAAAACAAATTGTTCCAAGAGTACGGATCTTATTGATATGTAGGATAGTCTCCATATTCAGAATCATAACCATAATACGGAGTCTCTCCGTATCCATAGTTAAAATTCTTCATAATAGCTCAAATATCCTACAAAAATATTGACACAAGAAAAAAAAGAGAATAAAAATAAAAATAAAAATAAAAAAAATAAATTAATAAAATAAAGGAAACTATATACAAATCTAAATTAATAAAAGAAATAATAATTAACCCAAAAAGTACCATAACTTCGCCTGCTACATTCGTTCGCCACCATAAGTTCAAAAATAACTTAAGATCCAAAATGACAAAATTGCCCCTTCTAGAAAGGCACGTGAAAGTCAGCCTTCTATTACTTTTTGGACGGTGAACGGACGGAAAAGTGAAAGAAGACAGAAACTCAAATTTTGATGGGATTTAAGTTATTTTTGAACTTGATTATTAATTTAAATGTTTTATAAAACACTGTATGGGTTGAAGAAAAAAAAAAGTCCTCTCTAAACTTTTTCTCTCCCATCTCACTAACGCAACCGAAAATTTCCTCCTCCCCCAACCACCATTAACGGTGGTTGGGGGAGTCCCTTCCTTTATTTTTTTCTGTCTTTTAATTCCCGTTTCTTTCAGAAGAGCCTCCTGGCCTCCAAGTCATTCAAATCGCGGCCTTACCTTGCTGCCTGGCCGCCTCCCTCTACTGAATTTAATTGCCTGGCCTCCACTTGTCTTCAATCGCCGGCCGCGGCTTGAAAAAGCTTGGCCATCATCGGTCGGCAATTCACCAGTGTTGACTGGTCTAGATGTAAGCTTTATGCTCAGATCTGATCATCGGCCGACCAGAAGATGTTGTAGATGAAGATTCAAGAGAAAGGAGTTAACCAGAGTACATCCTCCTGTAGATCTGCCGCTGCTACAACTGCTTCCACTGCTCATTCGTCCCCGCTGTCTGAAGCACAGCCCACGCCGACGAAGAGACCCCAGGGATGCATCGTCCGGCAAGCTTCAAAATCCAAGAATAGAGTCGATGTCGGAAATCACTAGTGTTGACTGGTGCAGATCGGAGTCTCGTGCTCATATCTGAATTGGCCGGCATCCACTCCTTGCTGTCTGAAGCACAGCCCACGCCGGCGGACTCGGCCGTCCGATACGCCGTGCGGCCCTTCCCTCAACCCTCCCCACTCTGTTCTCTCGGCCAGAGGAGACGAAGATGATGGTGGTCATGACTGTGGACGACAAGCCGACAATCAAACCGGTAATGAACCGGACTGCCGGTTCTTAATTAATGGTGAACCGATTCAATTCGGTTCACTGGTCTGGCTTTCCAAACAAACCACTTTGGTTTATACGGTCAATTCGTATGTTATGGTTCTGGTTCAAATTTGGTTTTATTTATTTTAGGGACTCTTTTAGGAATTAAATTTTCCTGTATATCACTCATAGATTTAGATTCTCCATATGTCCACTAAACGCGGCAGTTTAGATCGTGATCCGAAAGAAGCGAATCACGATGATGGGAATTTATCCTTTTTGATTTACTAGATAAATAACTCTGATGTGTCTGGAACCGACATTAGAATTAATTTAGTATAGGTCCAATTTGGTCTCTTTTGAAAATATCAGTATATTTACTGGTATTTAAATTTCCGTCTTTTGACGGCCTCTTGTACAGGGCAAGTCTTAAGCACTGCTCTGAAATTATTTTCTGATATTAATAAAAATCCCAGGTACTGACCTGGTTTAATATAAAAAAAAAGTTATTTTTGAACTTATGGTGGCAAACGAATATAGCAGCCGAAGTTATGGTACTTTTTGGGTTAATTATTATAATTATGAACAAGAAAAGTTAACACATTTAAAGATGGTAGAAATTAAGTTTTTTTATTCATAAACTACGTAGTTTTTGTTGGAGGAAAACGGATGCATGAGAACGTGACACGTCAGCCTTTTTTTTTCTCTTGGACTATTGTTTCTTTCTTTTTTAGAAGAATCCAGGGCGGTACCTGACGGGAGGACCCCAATTTTATTAATTTAAACAAAAAGATATATAAGGCAGTGCTTAAGACTTACCCAACTTGAAAGGAAATCGTCTTATAAAAGTTTTTCTGAAAAACTACATGACAATTTTTGAGCATTCTATAGCTATGAAATTGTCTTACATAGATTATTCTAATAATCTCCTGACAGTTCTTCTATAAAGTACAAAATTACCTCTATGAACTGATTTACAAAGATTTTGCAAAATTCCCTATCAGTTCTTAATTTACTTAACACTAAGAAAAATTCTTAAATCTAAATAGAAGGACTTTATTTAATTTGCAGGTGTGGAATTGATCTTTGGTCAAGCAATAATAAACCACAAATCTTAGGTGGCATTACCAAATAAAAATCATAGTCTATATGCCAACCATTTAATCCCATCTTAGCCAGAAGATCAGCTACAACATTGATCTCGCGGAATACATGATGTAGTTGATAATTCGTCATGAAATTTCCATGGAAAAATTGTACCTCTGAGCAGAAGATCAACTATCACGTTGCTATCCGATTGCACTAGAACATTGGAGAGATCTTGCATTTCACAATATTTCAGGCCTTCTAAAATCCCTTGAATTTCAGCTTTAAAACTGAAATCTTGGCCTAAATATCCACATGCGGTATGAATCATTCTTCCGTGCTCACCTCAAACCACATAGCTCCATCCTGCTTCTCCAGGGTTTCCTTTGCTGAGCCATCCGTATTTAGAATATAACTCCCAGGATCAGGTGGTTTCCATGAAACCATTTTGATTTTTTTTTAATGTTTAGGAGATGAAGCTTCGCTTGAAAGATATGTTCAAGTTGTTGTTGCTCTAATCTTGGTCCCGTTCTCAAATTATGAGCTCGAAGCAAACCCAAAACATTAGTTTTAATAGCCAAAATAATAGAATGAAACTGAACCTTTTTACCTTCGAAGATGAACGAGTTCCTTGCTTTCCATAACTCCCATAGGATAAGAGCCGGAGAGTGCCATAATGATGGCCTTTCTTGCTGTAGAGTAATTCCCCATTGACAACCAAGCTTGGATAAAAGCCCATAAATTATCTAGAACCGGAAGATGTAGATTCTTTTCATCTGCGAAAAAATTCCACTCTTGCTGCAGATGAACAACTCCAAAACAAATGATCAAAAGCTTGTTCTTGCGCAAAACAGAACGGGCATCAAGAAGGCGTTGCATAAATTCCGAATTTTAGGATTGTGTCGGATATCAGCAACAAACGATTGAAGAACCTCCAATTGAAGAAAAAAATTCGGCTGGGGATCACTTTATTCCATAAAGATTTGATCCAGAAATTACCCTGTTGTTTGTCTCGAAAACTATGGTATGCCGAGGATATTGAGAAAGCTCCCGTTTGAGAAGGTTGCCAAATGAAGGTATCACTGTCATTCGAAAATCTGATCGAACAAGCTTGGATATTCTGGAAATCATGTTGCGCATCAATTAAACAACCTGAGATGATCGGCAGAATAGAATGCGGATTGTCGAAGAATTCCTTAACCGAAAGATTGGATACAGGTTGCCGGGGCTGTTGATTCATATCACAAAAAGCATCAAGGTTAGACCATTTATCAAACCAAAAAGAAACCATACCTTGTTTCAGGCGAATCTCAGTATGTGATGAAGCTTTGTGATCAATTTTGAGTATTCAGCGCCAACTAGTAGTTCGACTTCTTGATGTAGTTGATAAAGATGCGATGAATTTGGCCCATATTCCAGACTAAGTTTTGTCTTTCCACCACATCTTTGCTGCAAAAGCGTTGATAACATCATCAAAGTTTCGGATTCCAATAACATTTTCTGCTACTGGAAAAGCCAATCGCTTCCTTGAACGCCAATGTTTTTTCTGACCTTGATCCGTTTTCCCCCCCAAGAAATTTTAACATCTTGATTCTAAGGCCTGAATAATGAGTTTTGGTTGATCAATGACAGCAAAAGTGTGGATTGGGATGGAGGAGAGGACATGTTTAATCAGAATCAAACGTCCACCGCTTGACAAAAATTTGTTGCGCCAATTACATAACTTCCCATCCATTGCGTCAAGTAAATACTGAAAATGGCTGCCCAATTTTCTTCCTTTAAAAATTCTGGAACCCAAATACCGTATAGGAAGAGTGCCTCTTTGCATTCCAAGTATCCTTTGAACTCGTTCCACATTATCAACACTTGCTTTTTCCGAGACTAAGAAGTCAAATTTTTGTCTATTGATCTTTTGGCCCGTGGCCAGCTCATAAGTTTGAAAAAAATCATTCAACGCTTCAAGTGATATTTTTGGGCTCTTTGTATAAACAATCAAATCATCCGCATAACTCAAGTGAGATATTGGTAAAGTTCCCGCCGGAATCCCATAATTTTCAATTCGCCTCGATTCAGTGAGGAACTTTAACCTTCTCGTCAATGCCTCCGATACTAGTATAAAAAGATATAGTAACAAAGGATCACCCTGTTTTATTCCCCTTGTAGCTTGAAAAAAAACCCGTAGGGCTTCCATTTATCAACACCGAGAACCAGCTTCCATAAAGATATTCATGACGAGGGTTATAAAATGGGGGTGAAAACCGAAAGCCCTTAGAATTGCTTTGAGGAAACTCCAAGATATTCTGTCCAATGCCTTCATCATATCAACTTTCAAAGAAATATTTCCTCCAAAGGCTTTGTTATCCAGAAACTGTACCAAGTCTTGGGAGTATGTTATCCAGAATATCTCTTCCCGCCAAAAAAGCATATTGCTCCTCCGAAATAATCTTACCAAGTAAAGGTTTTAGCTTCTCCGTCATGATTTTGGTAAAGACTTTATTAACAAAATTGCACAAATTTATAGGACGGTAATCCGTAAAGCTTGTCACTGATGCCTTCTTGGGGATTAGGGTTATTAAAGTACTCCCTACAGCTCGCGGAATTGGTGATCCATTGAAATAATCCAAACATGCGAGTAGTAGATCATGCCTTATAATTTCCCAGCATTGAGTGTAGAAGAATCCAACAAAGCCATCAACTCCCGGCGCGCTTGAAGGATCGAGATCGAAGACTGCCGATTTGAGTTCATCCATAGATATGTTTCTAAGCAGTTGATCATTATCTTCCCTTGTGATCAAGTTGGGAATATGCCACAGTAAACATTCTTGCACCTCATCTCGACCATCCGGAACCTCATTAGACAACAAGTTTGTAAAGAAATCCACGGCCTCTTGTTCAATTGCTGAAGCATCAGTTATCCAATCTCCACTTACAGATTGAATTTTATAGATACCTTGTCGTGCTTGCTTCTCCTTATTCTGAATGAAATATCGCCGTTAATAATTTGAAAAAATTAACAAATGTCCTAATATTACATATTTTTGAAAAGTTTGGAATGAAAATGGCATGCTTTTAAACTTTGGGATGTTTTAGATGGTGTGGCTCAAACCTTGGGATGAAAAGGCCCATTCTCCCAACCAAACTTTGTTCCAGCTTAAGCACATAGCAATATCAAATTTAAATAAACGTCTAAATTCTTCTAACCTAGAGTTATCTACCATTGGTTCCAACAGAATCAGAATTTTAATTGCATGCATATTAATTAAATTCATAAGCCTAAGCTGTGTTGTTTTGTTAGAAATACCACACACATTGCATATTAGGTAGCTATTCATTTAAACAATTGGATTGAAATCACCTTGGAGTCTCGTCGATTGACGAGTTTCAGTACATGGTTGTAATGCAACCTTTTTAGAACCTCTAGGCCTCCCACGTTTCTTTTGATCTTGCTCACCATCAGAAACAGAACCGCGATGCACCAATCTGCTTTCATCATTCGAATTGAGCTCCAACAGAGACATCATCACTAAATTGATCTAAAAGAGTTCCTACTTCAGAAATTTTCCCCGGATTTTCAGACAGAAGCCCTTCATCGTCATCATCTTCATCGTTCCTATTATCCTTTTCCACCTCAAGATCATGAATTGAATCATCATTCCCTATCATTTCTGCAAGAACATCAAATCGGTCCGATAATTTAATTGGCAAACAGGTGGGTTGTAGACAGCTAGCTGTTTAGAAACACCGTTCTGTTTTGGAATTTCTTCCTGAGTTTCGACCTGAACAACTTCCTCAGTTCCCCATGATTCCATTGGATGTTGCTTTTCAGAACTCTTTTCTAAAATTTCACTAAGATGTTCCTTAGAGATCTTTCTGTTTGTAGAGCTTGGATTATGAAATTTTGGACTGAGAGCTTCCACATCAATTTGTAGTGTTTGTTTTTCTTTTAAAGTCAGGCCCGAAGATGATGGGTCATTTCCGATCTGTGTTATCTTCTCTGAGTTTTTGGTTGCATCTTCCTTCTGTTTCCAACTTCCAACTAATAGATGCCCAAATGGCTTTGCTGACGCTTTGATTTCTGATTTCTTTGATATTGTTTCCTGATTTTGAGCTTCATTTGGTTTTGGATTGGACTTTGGTATAGCATCTGCCTTCGTGAAATCTTTGCTATGACGACAAGCCTTTATCGAATGACCAATCTTTCTACATTCAACGTAATATTCCAGCAAATTCTCATATGTAATTATTTGAAAGTATGAACTCCCTTCAGTACCCAAACGGATGCGCTTCGGCAATTCTTGCAAAAGATCAACTTCCACACAAACACGTGCTATCGACGGTCTAGATAAATTAAGGGTAGGCATATCAATCTTCAAGGGTTTCCCAACAATGCAGGAAATTTTTCGCAGGTATTCTTCATTGAATCTGTGCACTGGTAACCCTTCAAATGCGATCCATACAGGCACAATTGATGATTCTTGCTCCGGATTGAAATCTTGTGTCCATTTTAGGACCCGCATCATATGAGAATCGAAAGACCAGAATTCTTTCATCCAACATCGCTGGAAGTCTTCTTCTAAATCGAAACCAATTAAGATATGCCTATGATCAATCATTCCAATTGAAAAATTACCTTTGAATCCAATTGATGTGAACATCCATGGTAATCAAGTCCAAAATGATCAAGGTATTCGGGTTCCAAGTACTATCCAAGCTCAAGGAGTGGCTCAAGATCCATTATCCAACGTTGGTGGCCCAATGACTCAAGCTAGAAGTAAAAGGATGAGGAGTGCACTTAATAATCTTATATCAAATTGTTTAGCCCAAGAGAATGTCAAGTCTGGAAGTTACAAACCCAAGATCATTAATATATTACAAGGCCCATTTCAGGAAGGAAATTTCGACCCACAAACCAAGCAAGGGAGGCCGGTCCTATCTCCTAATTTTTAGGAGTTGGAATCTCTATCTTTTAGGGATAAAATCATTTAGGCTCCATTTGGACAAGAGTTTCAAAAAGACTTTTAAGGCTAAAAAATCTGTTTAGAGTTTGAAATGCGTTTGGACAAAATAATTAAAGTCTTTTCTAAACATCATTTTGAAAAAAAAAGGCTTAAAACAGACTTTTTAGAAAATAGGTAGGAGGTATTTTTCAAATTTTTGAAACAGATTCTTTCAACTCCGTTCGCGGGTCATAACCTGGGTCGAGGTGGGTTATGAAAAAATCGGGTCACGAATATAAAGAAAAAGACGTGTCCTTCTCACTTCTTCCATACCCTAGATCCGCCGCCCCTTTCTCACTCTCTCTCCTTCTCGCCGTCATCTAGATCCGCCGCCCCTTTCTCACCTTTCTCACTTTCTCCTCGCCATCTAGATCCGCCGCCCTTTCTCGCCTCTCTTTCAGCCGTGCGGCACCCACCCACCGTCTCTTCGGTGTTTTTTTCATGGGCTGATTGCTGCGGCTGTGATGCTGTGATTTTTTGGTTTCCCCTCTGATCATCTTCGATAAATCTCGGTTTGTTCGCCGTGGATTCCCGGCGGTTGAGTTTCCTACATTTCTCCTAACGCCTGAGCTTGCCAATCCTGTTCTTTCTTTGTTTTTGAGGTTAGAGCTTTACTTTGAATTCTCTCCCTCTTTTAGCGAATTTGATTTTATGTTTGTGGGTTTTTTTGTTTTTGGTTTTTGGTGTTTATGAAATGTATAAATATCCTCTGGGGATTTAATTTTGAAATGCTTGTTTTTGCAGTTTTGCATCTATTTGGTCTGTTGACATGCATTTGCTGCTTCTCAATCGGACCTTAGCTTTTCAGATGAAACGGAAATTTTTAATTTTTTTTAAATTTTTTTAATTTTTTTGACTTGTAAGCTCTGCTGCTCACCCCTTTCCCTTTGTCGATGTCAATCATGATATAAAAAAGTAGTGTTAGGAATATGTTGTGAGTTTTTCTTGTGCTTGGAGTGACTCTTAGATGCGAATTGACTCATCATTAGGGAAGCCTTTGACAGAGTAGAGTGTCCTTGAGCAGTAAAATAGATTCAATACATTCTTCTGACAGTAGATTCAATATATTCTTCTGAGTAATAATCAAAAAATTGTTTATCCTGATGCTGTATTACATTATGGGATCTTTAAAAACCATAATGATCGAGGGCTGATATTCCATTAGTAATTATCAATATTAGGCTTTTTGAAAACGAAATATTGCTTTATAATGACAATATGAGTACATAGGGGTGAGATGACTGCGCCAAACATGAATTGTAGCAGCTAACTTGCATAAATTTTGGACATTTGGAAATTTCACATCATGTAATCTTGCTACAGCTTTGCTACCTAGATATTAAATCATGGCCAGTTAATCTGACGCTTGATAGATTGGTGAATGTTAGATGTAAGACTAGAACAGCACATCATAATTACTTTCTTGCACATGCAGATGGTGTTTTGTTCATTACAGCCATTTGATCCATTCTACTATAAGCCAATCATTATTTACTGTATTTGCACATCATGGTATTTAATATCTCTGAAAGTGATTTTGTCATTTTTCTTCACAAGCGATTAGATGGTGGTTTTTGCTATTATCTTACACCAAAATCAAGACACCGTCAAGTTTGTCTGGGGAGATTTACTTGATGTTAGAAAAACCTGCAAAAATCATGAATGAAGATTGAATCGCTTTGAAAGAAAGTTTCCTTCAATAATTTTCAATCCTAGAAAACAGACTCTCAAGAGTGTTTCTAGATAAGAAAACTAAATGTTCTCTCATAAGTCTTATATCCACAAGTGACTTAATTGGATCTCTTGCTGCTAGGCAATCTCACTTAAAATTTACATGGTACGAGGATCATACTTATAAGGACAGATACTGTATTGCCTAACTGAACATAGTCTTAGACAATCTAAAAAGCACAAATGCTTGCCTCAGTTGTTAGTTGTTACACTCTGCTGAAAAAGAAACTGTTCTTCATTATTTCCCTGGGGTGATTTTGTAGACTTATATGGCTTCCTTCATGTCACATTCTGCCAAAAAAGAAACTGTTCTTCATTATTTCCCTGGGGTGTTTTTGTAGAATTGTATATCTTCCTTCATGGCTTTCTGATCGAATGTTTTGAATGTTGGTTTAGTGTTTATCCTCTGGCTATACTAGATTAGTTTTTTGAACAGGAATAAAACATAGTTACGTAGAAGATAATTACTGTTACTAGTTACGTAGTTACAACATGTTTCAGAATTTCTGCATCTTAATCAGATCTTTAGGAGTAGTTTCAAAACATCATATCAGTCCGAGGTGGTTAGAATTAGAAATATGTTAATGGGATCTTTTTTGTCAGTAGGATTGATGTGATTGAATATAAGTCAAGAATGTACATTTGGTTAATTTTGAGCTACGCTTTACTATGCTTCAGATGTCAGATATCAATGAAAGTAGTAGTAAAAGTTACGAAGTTTCTCGGACTGTTTGGACTGAAGGAGACATTAAGCTATAAGTTGACTTATTGTTGGAGTATAAAATGAAGGGCGAAATGAAGCAGAATAACTTTGGCAAGTCTTGCGTCCAGATTACCAAAGATTTTAATGCCAAATCAGATTATAGGCAAACCCTTGAGCAACTGAGTCAGAAATTTCATCGCTTTAGAATTGACTGGAATGCTTTTAAGGATTTGCGAGAGGAACACACTGGTCTTGGGTGGGATCACCAAAAAAGAACCGTTACAGCTTCTGAAGAACGTTGGAAAGAGTTAATCAAGGTAATAGATCAAACATATCCTGAGTTAATAAACTATTCTACACTTGCACTAATATGTATAACTACACATATTTAAATGGATATTTAATGGATACTGCAGATAAACAAGAATTACAAGAAATTCCAGCAACATGGTTTAGAATATAACGATGAGTTTACTGAGTTATTTCAAAGTGTTGGTTCAGTTGGCTCATATGCTATGGCAACGGGGCAATGTCAAGTTAGTAAAGCTCAGGAAGCTGGTGCGAATGTTTCAGAAACCATAAGGGATGAAGATGGTGACAAGTCTAGTGGTAAGAGGCAGATGGATAGTAATATGAATAGAGAGGGAGACTCGAGAGGGAAGAAAATGTCTAAGGGGAATTCAAAAGAGGATGTGTTTTGGGAAGCTGCTACAGAAGCTGCACTTGCAAAGGGGAAAAGGTATAATGCGCAAGCAGCCCAAGTCTTGGCTTTTGAGGAGCATTCGATCGAGAAATGCATAGAGCTTCTATATGACCTAGAAAAAGACATCGACGACGTGGACTTATTTCTTAAAGCCAGTGATGCTTTCACTAATGATGCAAGGAGAAGGATTTTTCTAAAATTTTCACGCGAACATCGACTCGCTTGGATTAGGAGACTCTAGACTTGATAGATTAGTGGAGTGGAAATATATTTTAGACTTATGTAGAACTGGGAACATCCTTTATATTTTGTTGATGGATTTTTGTTGCTTCATATATTTTAGACTTTTCACATCAGCTGTATCTAAATTCCAGCTGTGTTTAAATGTTATATTATCAAGATATTTAGTTAATCCTTAAATTCCAGCTTTCATTGCAATTGAGTTGCTTGTGTTATATGGTTATGTATATTCTACTTGCTATAAATTTGAGTCTTTTGGCTGAGTACTGAGTCTTGCTCATTTTTTTATTACTGTAGTGGCTGAGTACTGAGTCTTCCACACCATCTTATCTCATATTGAAGAGCTTGAAGAGAAGTTGACCGAGTCTGACAAACATTTGGAAAGTTTGTTACCATTTGGTGCTTCTCATGAAAAGTTGCAGATCAGTTCAAAAGCAAGAAAAGGGTGGTCTACAGGTGCTTTTCTAATTCTGAGTTGGGTATGTTTGTTAATTAGGATATCACATAGCACACCTTCTTTTTACCTTGATATCCTCAGTACAGTGCTTGATTTTCTGTCACTGTTTATTTATTACAATATTTGGAAGTCATCTATTCATTTATGTCGTATGAGATTGATCAATGTTCTGCATCACGAGATCAGTTGTGTTGAAATTGCTTAATGAGGTAAAACAGTCAGATTGCTTGGATGTTGGGGAACTTCATTGCAACATCCAAGTCTTGGGGTCTTCATAGTCCTGTGGCTATTCTTGCCCAATTCTTACTATTTTTGATCACTGTACATCGAGATTTACTCCTCTTTCACTGTTTGTCAAAAGGCTTTATAGATCTTCCGAAATTTTGGTTGAAAGAAGACATGCTCATTGACGTTTTTTTTGGGATGTGGAAACCAAATTAGAGACTCTGTTGTCACGCCTATTTCTCATATGTCTGGAACTCTTCTCTTGGATTTCTATTCATGAATCCCCTCTCCGTCCAGTGTAGTTTATTCATTCTTTACGGATTGCAAAACGGATTTGTAGATTGGTAGAAAGCTTAATTTGAACATGACAATCATTTTCTGAAAATCTGTCCTCATCGACTGTTTTCGGAGATTCGTTTCTCATAGCTCTTGAACCCTTTTTCAGGATTTCTTTATATGAAACTCTTCTGTGTTCAGTGAATTTTAACTCTGCTTTTGTGGATTTTAAAACCGGTGTATGTTTTGTCCGAAAAGTGAATTCAAACAGGACCAACCTG